ATTCTTTTAAGGTAGATGAAAATGTTTTGAAATTAGATTGTGCATGTGCACAACTGTGAATATACTAAAAACCAGTGACTTGTATAGTTCAAAAGGATGAATTCTGTAAAATGTGAATTATATCTCAATGAAAAAAGAAAGGGATGTCTGGAATATGTCACAATCATATGTCACAAACTACCTTGCGATTGTTAATTGTATGGTGTCAACTTGATGGTTAAAGGATGCCTAGATAGCCAGTAAACATTATTTCTGGGTATGTCTGTAAGGATGTTTCTGGAAGGGTTAGTATTTAAATCTGTAGACTGAGTAAAGAAAATCTGCCCTCATCAAATTGGGTGGGCAACCTCCAATCCATTAAGGATTGGTCCAATAAAAAGGAGGAGGGGCAAATTTTCTCTCTTTTTGAACTAGGATGGTCAACTTCTTCTACCTTTGGACATTAAAATACTCTTGGTTTTCTGGGTCTTTGGACTCTAGGACTTACAACAGCAGCCTTCCCTGCTCCCCACTCCCCAGCCACACCCTTACAGTGTAAACAATAGAGAATCTTAAAGGTTTCTAAGGAAAGTGACAGAGCTGCAATTAGGGAGATTCTTCAGGTTCTATGTATAAAGTTATCATAGAATTAAGAGGGTGGTGGCAGGATCAGTGAGAACGCTATGATCATAGTTCAGTGGAGAAATGATGGAGGCAGAAGAAATGTAATAATAGAGATAGATGGAAAAGGCATTATAGGTACAGAACCAACTAATTTGGAAACTAGCTGGATGAAGAAACATAGGAGAGGGTGGGTCAGAGTGAAAATGATATTCTGGAGGTGCTGTTAACTGAAATTGAAGACACAGGCAGAAAAGCAGATTTGGAATGGAGGTGTTTTTGTTTTTGTTTTTAATATTTGGAATATCTTGAGTTTGAGGTGCGAAAAGGAAATGAAGTGGAAACACTGGCCAGGAAGCTGCAGGGCAAGATTTGAACTTGAAGAGTCTGCACTAGAAATGCCAACTTGTTAGCAGCACAGGAGTAGTAACCGAAGCTACAAGATTGTTAAAAGAGAACATATAAAAAGAGAAACAAAGGGGGCGCCTGGGTGGCGCAGTCGGTTAAGCGTCCGACTTCAGCCAGGTCACGATCTCGCGGTCCGGGAGTTCGAGCCCCGCATCAGGCTCTGGGCTGATGGCTCAGAGCCTGGAGCCTGTTTCCGATTCTGTGTCTCCCTCTCTCTCTGCCCCTTCCCCGTTCATGCTCTGTCTCTCTCTGTCCCAAAAATAAATAAACGTTGAAAAAAAAATTTTTTTTTAAAAAAAAGAGAGAAACAAAGGAGTGATCCTTGTGAATATCCACATTTATGGATCTGGAGAAGAAAGATACAAAGAAGACTTGGTCAGAAGTCTGTCCTTGACAGAACTTCTAGGGTAAAATACGCTGGAGAAGTAGGAAGGGGACAATGACCCCATAGAATCTAAGGACTACAAGTTTGGTAAGTAAGCTCAATATTGCTCTTGGATCTTATAGATGTGGCAGAATGATTAAGGTGAAATCCAGATATCAGGGAAGTATGGAGTAAATGGGTAGGAGAGGGTATAGTCTAAAACATACCTAAGACAGTAGCTTGAAAGAGAGGGGCATGGGGTGCTGGGGTGGCTCAGTTAGTTAAGGGTCCAACTCTTGATTTTGGCTCAGGTCATGATTTCACGGTTTGTGGGATTGAGCCTGGAGTTGGGCTCCACACTGACAGTGAGGAGCCTGCTTGGGATTCTCTCTCTCTGCCCCTCCCCTGCTTGCTCGCTATCTCTCTTTTTCTCACTCAAAATAAACGAATAAACATTTTTTTTAAGGGAGACAGGCTTTATTTGATGAAGGAGTCAGAACTTGTTTTTAGACCAAAGGTTCAAAGACAGAGAGAGAGATAAATGATACAAGACAGTTGAAATAACATTCAGTCTTGACAGAAGACTGACCTATGCCAAAGGAAGCACTAAGAAGAGGATGCAAATCCCAGGTTTCAGGCAGGAAGTCCTTACCAAATAAGGAAGAAAAGATGTTTCTTGTATCATCATTTAAATAGTGAAAAATAAAATAGTGAATAACTTAAATATGATACAAAACATATATAGACATGACTACTTGAATGAAAAGAAAGAACAGTGTTAAATATTATGCCATTTATGGGGGTGCCTGGTAGCTCGGTGGGTTAAGCGTCCAACTTCAGCTCAGGTCATGATATTGCAGTTTCTGAGTTCAAGCCCCACGTCAGATTCTGTGCTGACAGTGCAGAGTCTGGAGCCTGCTTCGGATCCTGTGGCTCCCTCTCTCTCTTCCTCTCCCCTGCTCGTTCTCTCTCTCTTTCAAAAATAAATAAAAACATTTATTAAAAACAATTATGCCAGGGCGCCTGGGTGGCGCAGTCGGTTAAGTGTCCGACTTCAGCCAGGTCACGATCTCGCGGTCTGTGAGTTCGAGCCCCGCGTCGGGCTCTGGGCTGATGGCTCAGAGCCTGGAGCCTGTTTCCGATTCTGTGTCTCCCTCTCTCTCTGCCCCTCTCCCGTTCATGCTCTGTCTCTCTGTGTCCCGAAAATAAAAATAAACGTTGAAAAAAAAAAACAAAAAACAAAAAACAATTATGCCATTTATGTTTAAAATAAATGCATCAAATGTGTTTATGTTTTAAGAAACTGGACCTTTTACTGTATGTAATTTTTATTTTATTTTCATTTTCATTTTTTTAATGTTTATTTACTTTTGAGAGAGAGAGAGAGAGCGCACGAGCAGGGGAGGGGCAGAAAGAGAGAGAAAGAAAGAGAAAGAGAGACAGAATCTGAAGCAGGCTTCAGGTTCCGAGCTGTCAGCACAGAGCCCAATGCAGGGCTTGAACTCATGAACCGTGAGGTCATGACCTGAGCCGAAGTTGGACACTTAACCGACTCAGTGACCCAGGTGCCCCATTTAAATTAATTTTTTGAAGTTACAATATGTGCTTCGCATAAAATGAAACAAATAATACAACTGCATTTATTTAAAACTCCCAGTATACTACCAACGTTGGGTATTGCGAGACTCAATATAAAGCTTAAGGATCAAAACAGCGTCATGTTAGTAAAAGAACAGACAGAAAAATCAATGGAATGCAACAAATAGTGCCAGAACAACTGGACATACATTAAAAAAGAATATAGACACAGACCTTGTACCTTTCACAAAAAGTAACTCAAAACGATCATAAACTTAAATGTAAAATGCAAAACTACAACTTCTGGTTAATAACAGAGGAGAATATTTAGGTGATCTTGAGTTTAGTGATGATTTCTTAGAGCACAAAAGCACAATCTGGGCGGGGTGGGGGGAATGGATTAATTGAACTTCATTAAAATTAAAAACTTCTACCACAGACTGAGAGAAAATATTTGTAAAACATATCTGATAAAGGACTTCTATCCAAAATATACAAAAAACTGGGGCGCCTGGGTGGCTCAGTCGGTTAAGCGTCCGACTTCACTCAGGTCATGATCTCGCAGTCTGTGGGTTTGAGCCCCGCGTCGGGCTCTGTGCTGACCACTCAGAGCCTGGAACCTGCTTCGGATTCTGTGTCTCCCTCTCTCTCTGACCCTCCCCTGTTCATGCTCTGTCTCTCTCTGTCTCAAAAATAAATAAACATTAAAAAAATTTTTTTTAAAAAATATATACAAAAAACTCTTAAAACTGATCAGTAAAAAAACCAAACAACTCAGTTTTAAAATGGGCAAAAGAGGGGTGCCTGTGTACGTCAGTTAAGCATCAGACTTGGGCTCAGGTCATGATCTCATGGTTCAGGTGTTTGAGCCCCACATCAGGCTGTGTGCACTGACAGTGTGGAACCTGCCTGGGATTCTCTTTCTCCCTCTCTCTCTGCCCCTACCCCACACATACTCCCTAGCTTTCTCTCTCTCAAAATAAATAAAAGCTTTTAAAAATAGGCAAAAGAGGGGCACCTGGGTGGCTCAGTCAGTTGAGTGTCTGACTTTGGCTCAGGTCACGATCTCACAGATAGTGAGTTCGAGCCCCACATCAGGTTCTGTGCTGACAGCTCAGAGCCTGGAGCCTGCTTCGGATTCTGTGTCTCCCTCTCTCTCTGCCCCTCCCCCACTCATGCTCTCTCTCTCTCTCTCTCTCTCTCTCTCTCTCTCTCTCAAAAATAAACATTAAAAAAAATTTTTAATAAAAAATGGGCAAAAGATTTGAACAGACATCTCAACAAAGAAGATATACATATTTTAAATAAGGATATAAAAAGGTACTCACCATCGTGCCATTAGGTAATCATAAATTAATACGTGTTATCACTATACATCTATTAAAATGGCTAAAATCCAAAACATTAATGCCACCAAATACTGGCAAGAATGTGGAGATACAGGAACTCTGCAAAATGGTATATATAGCCACTTGAAATACAGTCTTACATTTCTTCCAAAGTTGAACATAGGCTTACCATACACTTCAACAATTGTTCTCCTAGGTATTTACCCAAATGAGTTGAACATTTATGTCCACACAAAAATCAGCATAAAAATGTTTATAGCACCTTTATTCACAATGCCAAAACTTGGAAGCAACCAAGCTGGGTGTTAAACATGTAGGTAGCTCATATTTTAAGTGCACATATATTTTTAAACAATAATTAGAGGGACTCTTGGGTGGCTCAGTCAGTTAAGCGTCCAACTTCGGCTCAGGTCATGATCTCACGGTTCATGAGTTCGAGCCCTACATCAGGCTCTCTGCTATCAGCATGGAGCCTGCTTTGGATCCCCTGCCCCTGTCTTTCTCTGTCCCCTCCCCACCCACACTCTCTTTCTCAAAAATAAATAAACATTAAAAAATAATTAGAAAATTAAAATAATCATCCAGATAAATTTTTCTTTTAAACTTATAACATCCTAAACATTTTAATCAAATAATAATGCATCAGTTGGATTGTGTTAGGTTTAAAAATACAAATATAAACCCCACATTTTTTCTCTCACATGAAAGTCCAGAGGTAGGTAGTCTACGGCTGCTATAGTGATTCTGTCCTCATCCAAGAAGGCTCCTTTCTGCTCACCACTCAGCTGTCCCTATAGTGTGGCCATTATCCTCATAGTTCCAATGGAAGTTAAGTCTCCAGCCATCACATCCACATCCTAGTCAGCAGGATGGAAGAAGGGATAAAAAGGTGAAGGGCAAAAAATAACTGCCTTTCTTAAATTTCTAATTCCAATATAGTTACCATACAGAGTTACATTGGTTTCAGGTGTACAATATAGTGATTCAGTAATTCTATATATTACTCAGTGTTCATCATAAGTATACTCTTAATTCCCTGCACCTATTTCACCCTTCCCCTCACTTCCCTCCCCTCTGGTAACCATCAGTTTGTTTTCTATATTTAAGAGTCTGTTTTGGGGGGGTGGGGGGTGCCTGGGTGGCTCAGTCATTTAAGCGTCTGACTTCAGCTCAGGTCGTGATCTCGCAGTTTCTGAGTTCAAGCCGTGTCGGACTTTGTGCTGACAGCTCAGAGCCTGGAGCCTGCTTTGGATTCTGTGTCTCCCTTTTTCTCTGTCTCTCTCTGTCTCTCAAAAATAAATAAACATTTTTAAAAAGTTTTTAAAGAGTCTGTTTTTTGAGTTGTCTCTTTTTTTTCTTGGTTTGTTTTGTTTCTTAAATTCCACGTATGAGTGAAATCAGATGGTATTTGTCTTTCTCTGACTTATTTCATTTAGCATTATACTCTCTAAATCAATCTATGCTGTTGCAAATGGCAACATTTCATTCTCTTTATGAATGAGTAATAAATATTCCATTGTTTATATACCACATCTTCTTTATCCATTCATTTGTCACTCAACACTTGGATTGCTTCCGTAATTTAGCTATTGAAAATAATGCTGCAATAAACATGGGGGTGCATATATCTTTTTGAATTAGTGTTCTTGTAATCTTTAGGTAAATACCTAGTAGTGGAATTACTAGATCATATGATAATTCTATTTTTAATTTTTTGAAGAACCTCCAGCAGCTGCACCAGTTTGCATTCCCATCAACAGTACATGATGGGAATGAAGGAACAGAAAAGGGTTCCTTTTTCTCTACATCCTCTTCAACATTTGTTATTTCTTCTCTTTTTTATTTCAGCCATTCTGATAGGTATGAGGTGATATCTCATTGTGGTTTTGATTTGCATTTCCCTGATGATCCGTGATGTTGAGCATCTTTTCATATATGTGTTGGCCTTCTGTATGTCATCTTTGGAGAAATGTCTGCTCATTTTTAATCAGATTGTGTTTAGCTGTTGAGTTGTGTAAGTTCTTTATATATTTTGGATACTAACCATTTATTGGATATGTTATTTGCAAATATCTTCTCCCATTCTTCAGGTAGCCTTTTAGTTTTGTTAATTGTTTCCTTCACTGTGCAGAAGCTTTTTGTTTTGATGTAGTCCCAATAGTTTATTTTTGCTTTTGTTTCCCTTGTCTCAGAAGACATGTCTAGAAAAATGTTGCTACAGCTGATGTCAGAGAAATTACTGCCTGTTTTCTCTTCAAGGATTTTTATAGTTTCAGGTCTCACATTTAGGTCCTTAATCCACTCTAACTTTGTTTTTGTGTATGGTAAAGTAGTTCAGTTTCATTCTTTTGCATGTAGCTGTCCAGTTTTCCCAATGCTATCTGTAGAGGAAATTGTCTTTTTCCCTTTGCATAGTCTCACCTCCTTTGTCTTAAGCTAATTGACCATATAATCATAGGTTTATTTCTGGGCCCTTTATTCTGTTTCATTGATTTGTGCCAGTATCATACTGAAAAAACAACGGTCTTTTAAGGGAAGTTCTCAGCAACTGCCAAATGATTCTGCTGCTAACATCTTATTGGCCAGGACCTAAACACATGACCACATCTAGCTACAAATTGAAGCTTGGACAAGTAGACTATATTCTGTGAGGCTTCGTGCCCAGTTCCAAATCAAGGCTTCTATTACGAGGGAAAAAGAAAATGAATATATGAGGACAGCAAGCAGGGTCTGTCCACAGCCAAATTGACAAGGCTGACCTCAAATTCTGACCTCTTGATGGTATAAATAACATCCTTAATCCTGAAAACTTGCTTCTAAAATCTCAGAGGAGAAGAAGAGATTCTCATATCAAACACTGCAGATAAAGGTGTCAAGTGACTCCCACTATGGCCTATTCATGGAAGAGGATTGAAGAGGTTGGGGAATGGCATAGAACAGTGTTAAGGGCGGGAGAAACAACAGGGATAGAAGTATTGGTCAACTAGGGGTTTACTAGTCAATCTTCCTAACCAGTGGCTCAGAAAAGCAGCCCTGAGACCAGGAGTTCTGCTTCTGAAAAGAGGGGCTAGAGATGGGACAGAGAAATAAGGATAAAAGTAAGAAGAGAGGGTAGTTTTGTTAGTGATGAAGAATCAACTACTTGAAAGTTGAAAGGAACCACCTAGGCTCTAGGGCAAAGTCAATATTCTCAAATATATAGACAGATAGAGATGAGAATTTGGAAAACAGAAAGAAGAGATAATATCAGCCACAGTTCTGTCATCCATACGCCACTTTGTAACTATTTCTTTCTGGCCCTTTGTTTTCCTATGGGAGGTATTTTCTGTTTTATTTTAAGCATAGTTAACATAAACATACTATTTTGTACTCTTTTCCAGGTAACATGAATATATGAGCATTTTTCTCATTATGATATTCTGTCAAGGCCATATTGTGAACTGGTTAAGCATTTGGGCCCCAAAGTAGCTCTCTTCATGGCTTGAGTTTATACCCTAGTATGGGGTGATCACGGATAAGCTACTTAACATCACTTTGCTCATTTTCCTTATCTATAGAATGGGAAGAAAAAATAATGAGAACAATAATACCTACCTCATACAGCTGTTTTGAGGATTAAATGAGATAATTCGTTTATTTGTGTTTATCTATTTGTGTAATTATCTATTTGTGTAAAGAGCTAATAATAGGGGCGCCTGGGTGGCTCAGGCGGTTAAGTGTCCGACTTCGGCTCAGATCATGATTTCACGGTTTGTGGGTTTGAGCCCCAAGTCAGCTCTATGCTGACAGCTCAGAGCCTGAAGCCTGCTTCAGATTCTGTGTCTCCCTCTTTCTCTGCCTCTCCCCCTGCTTGCACTCTGTCTCTCTCTCTCTCTCAAAAATCAATAAACATTAAAAAAATTCTTTTAAAAAGAGATAATAACAGTTTGATGTAAGCTCTTATTATTTACAAACATAATTTTAATGGTTACATAAAGTATCAACCAGTGGACCTATCATCATAAGCATACCCTTATTACTGAACACTTGGCTAATTCTCAGTTTGGGGCTATTATAAGGTTTGAAACATTTTATTGCATTTATCTCTTTTATATTTAGGATTATTACTTAAAGTAACATCTTAAGAATCTTCATATATATTTTAGAACATTTTATTTAAGCTAGGTGGTAGGTACCATGGGTATTCATTACATTGTTATCTAATATAACCCTTTTTTAGCATGTCTAAAATATTTCACTAAAAACCATACTCAAAAAGAATAAGAAATGCATCTAGTAATCAAATACTCATATGAAAAACTATCAAAGGAGGAGTCATAGACTCTACTATTCAAGTGAGAAAAATAACTTCCATGGACACTAGCGGACCAAGATGAGGGCCTTGAAGGCTCTCCACGCTCTAACAATAGGCACCTCCTAGCTTACCACTCACCATTGCTCACATTCTCTCTATGCCAGGTAAAAGTTACACTCAAATTTTCTAAAACATGTCTTGCATTTCCCCTGTCTCTTCACTTGTGTTGTCTCCTCACCTACAGCATATTCTCCTCTCCATCTCAAAATCCTACAAACTTTACAAGGTTTGGTTCAATATTTCCAAAATAACTTCCCCACAGGGTGGTATCATGATAATAGTGATGTTCACATGGCATCACCAAAGCAGTTACAAAAACTCCTTTATTGGGAGGGTGCCATATCAGGCTCAAGTGGCCCCAAGCACTCTCTTGTCTTCCTCTTCCCCTAAGGGCTTCAAGGTGACAGCCAGGAAATCTACACTGACACTTGTCAGCTCAACTATTTCCAGCTTAGCTGAGCTTCTGATAGACACCTTTATTCATGGCTGGAATCCCCAGCCATAGCTATGCATCAACCCATGGTTGGACTTCTTTCCATTACTGGACACCCATCCATGACTGAACATCCTAATTATGGCTGAATGTTTCCATCCATAGCTAGACATCCCCACCAATGGCTAGACATTCTGCCAACATATAGATATCTCCCCGTGGCTAGACATCTCCATCCATGTCAGAACATCCTACCAATGACCAACAGCTGGAAATTTCCATCTCTGATTGTGTATTCTAACCCCCATGACTGGGCTGGGCATTCACAGTCATGGCTGGACATCTCCCCTCCCCCATGACTAGACATCCTCCCTGATGACTGAATAGTCCCCATGGCTGGATCTGCCCTGTATGTACCTATAAAGGGTTTGTCTGGGAGGGGAAAGACAAACTCCCCCAATGGGTATGCTCATAAAAGCTCTTTCATTTAAGTAAGCAAGGGAAGGCAAGGCATTATTCCTCCCATTTCGTCAGCCTAGGCCTGAAATCATAATCCCTCTTTACTCCACCCCAAACTACTTGCCAGTGAGCAAAACACCTAAGCAAACACTTAACACTCTTCTCTTTGGGGCCTAGGGATTGGTTGTGTTAAGAATAATGTAATACAAAAAAAAAAAAAAAAAAAAAAAAAACAAGAAAAGTGATAAAAGTAAACAGAACGAAAGAGTATAATTTAATAAATTATTGTTTAAAAAGAGGGAAGGGAAAGAGAAGGAAAGAAAAGATGCTGATTTTCCAAGCTCTATATTTTCACCATGCCAGGAAGGTGGGATAAGGGGAGATATGTGGCCATGCCACCTATCTGTGGGGAGAGGATAGAGGCTGGAAAGGTAAAATAATGACTCTCATAAACAGCAGAGAGGAGTATGATGCCTTCTCTGAAATGATGCTACACATTTCCAATGTTTGTTTAATTTCTAAAGAACACCAGATGATAGGCTGATGGTTGACATTCTAGATCTAGCACTATCACTGATTTTTTTTTTCTGAGATTTGGGAACAAGTCACTTAAAAGCTGTGTGCCTCAGTTTCTTTGATCATAAAATGGATGTTCTCATTCTTTTGGTATTCATTATGGTTGGCTATCCACAGGGATTCATTCCATGCCCCACTTTTTCATTTTGGACACCATGTGCCTCAGAGGAGCTGAACCCCTCTCCAGACCAGGAGACTGAAGCTGGGCTGGTATAAATCAACCATGGTGATCCTATTCCCTCTGCCAAATGCTGGTTTAAGAATGGGCATGTCATTCAATGACATGCCAATGAGAAATATGGAAAAGAAACACTTGGGGAGGAAGGCTTCTAGGGAAATTTTCCTTTGATCTTAAGAAGGAACACAAAGAAGAGGTGTTTTCCTTTCTGTCATTTGGGTGTGATACTTGGACCTGTGGCCATCTTGTAGTCATTAGATGACAATTCTGAAAATAAAAGCCAAAACAAAGAAAGTACAGAGCGGAAAGATAGAAAGCACTAAGTCCTTGATGACATCATTCGATCAGTGACTTAACCAAGCCAGCATCTATACCCCTACCTCTGGACCTTATGCTTAACAAGCATAAACAAACAAACAAACAAAACTGGTATTTTTGTTGTGAGTTACGTCTTCCATTACTTGCATCTTGCATCTGTTACTATCATTTTGAATGATAAAATAGTTAATCAAGAAGGTTCACGTTAATGTGAAAGATTTTCAAAATTCAGTCCTCAATAGAATACAAGATATCATATTACTACTTTTTATTTTAAAATAGAAATAGAAATTAGACTATAACAAGAATACATCGAAGAAACGAGGTTACAAAAAATCAAAACATATCTGATACCAAAGTCAATAATTCCAGCAATTGGTAAAGCTCAATCAGTGAATAAAGTCTAACTATAAAAACAGCTAATCCAACTGGATGACAGACTCAGGTAAAACACCCTGAATGGCACACTAAATCTTACACTTCAAGTCCTGAATCATAGACTATCCATTTTTGCCATAATCTTAGAAAATTTGAAAGGTAAAAAAAAAAAAAAAAGGAATGTAAACACAATGAAGAAATAAGCCTAAGTACATCATACACATACTTTTGTAACCGAATGTACTGATCCATTTTGTAATCATTGTAAATTGTCTATTTTTTAGTGTGTTTAAAACATTTAAGAAAATCTAATGTATTAGACTTGTGGTTTCAGTTGAATAAATGCTTGATTAAGTTTACCATCAATATTTATATACAGAAATTTAATTCATTAAATGTATCAAGTTTTCATTTATAGGTTACCTTTTAAATTCATTTAGATTTATTATCTTTTTCAAATATTTTTTCTAGTTTTATTGAGAAATAATTAACATACATTACTGTCTAAATTTTAAGGCATACAGTGTGATGGTTTGATTTACATATACTATGAAATGATTACCATGATCAATTTAACTAACATCCATCTTTTTATATAGATGCAATAAAAAGAAAAGAAAGGACAAAGGAAAATTTTTTTCTTCGTGATGAGGACTCTTGGGATTTAATTTCTTAACAACTGTCCCGTATATCATACAGCAGTATTAGCCACTGTTGTACATTACATCCCTAGTACTTACTTATCTCATAGCTGGAAGTTTGTACCTTTTGACTACCTTCTTCCAATTCCCTCTCCCCCAACCTCTGTGGTTACCTCTGGTAACCATAAGTGTGATGTCTTTTTCTATGAGTCCTTTGTTTGTTTTTTGTTTTCAAGATTCCACATATATGTAAAATACAGTATTTTTCTTTCTGTGTCTGATTTATTTCGCTTGCTTAATGTATTCAAAGTCCACCTCTGTTATTGCAAATACAAGTTATCTTAATAATATACAAAAAATTCATAAAACTAAAAAGCAATATAAATAAATACTTTGTTTCTGGGTTTGGTCTGCAATTTTTTTGTGAGCCAAAGATCCTATACATGGTATTTTGAGGCAAGTTACTCGCAAGAGTGGGGATGATCCCGCCTCAAAAGTAAAGAGGAAAAAAAGGTAAAAAACATGTGCTATTCCAGCATAAGAAACAGAATAAATGGAAAATGCTTATCACCTGGTCTGGATGGAACAGAAAAGGATGCCAAAGCTGTCAGGTCTCTAAGATCTCTCTCGGTTTCTTTCTGTAATAATTAACACAAGGTTCTGTTCATGAGGACAGGCATATACATTATTCTTGCAGGTGCCCCTCAACAATGTTACATTCAAAAGTATACTCAGGTGTCCCACACTCATTAAAACAAAAAGCAAAAATAACTGCTTATGAATGGTCTGAATACTCCTTTCATGCTTTTCAGTCTTGCTGATTGGTCACAGCAAAACACACACAAATATGCACATAAGAAATACACACCATTTAAAACCAAGTCAAAAAATATAAAAATAAATATATATTTTTTTAAATTTTAAATGAGGGGTGCCTGGGTAGCTCAGTTGGTTAAGCATCTGACTCTTGATTTCAGCTCAGGTCATCATCTCACATTTCATGAGTTCGAGCCCTGTGTGGGCTCCCTCTCTGACAGTGTGGAACCTGCTTGGGATTCTCTTTGTCTCCCTCTCTCTCTTTCCCTCCCCAGCTTTTGCGCTCTCTCTCTCTCTCTCTCTCTCTCTCTCTCAGAATAAACTTATAAATAAATAAATAAATAGATAAATAGATAAATAAAAACTTTAAATATTTTAAATTTTTTAATGTTTATTTTTGAGAGAGAGAGAGAGAGAGAGAGAGAGAGAGAGAGAGAGAGAGAGAGAATGCATAGGGGAAGGGCAGAGAGAGAGGGAAACACAGAATCTGAAGTAGACTCCAGGCTGTGAGCTGTCAGCACAGAGCCCAAGGTGGGGCTCAAACTCATGAACCGCAAAATCATGACCTGAGCCGAAGTCAAACACTTAACTGACTAAGCCACCCAGGCACCCCTTAAATGATATTTTTAAATAATGATCTCTTTTTAGGTCATGTCATCAAATCTGCGAGAGAAAATTATTTGCTGTAAAGTGTCACTTGAGTTCTAGACAGACAAGTAATCTCAAATTATAAAGCCACTGCTATTGTCTGAATGTTTGTGTCCCTCACCAAATTCATAGGTTGAAACCCTAAGCCTCAGTGTGATGATATTAGGAGGCAGGGTGTTTGGGGTGACTAGGTCATGAAGGTAGAGCTATCACAGACAGTTTGCTTCCTGTCTCTGCTCTTTGACATGTGAGGGCACCATGAGAAGATGGTCATTAGCAGACACACAAGCAGGTTCTCACTAGACACCAGATGTGTCAGCACCTTGATCTTGGACTTCCCAGTCTCTAGAACTGTGAGAAATAAGTGTTTCTTTAAGCCATCCAGTCTCTGGCACTTTGTCATAGTAGCCTGAACAGAGAAAAACAGCCCCCCTGATTTAACATCCGAATCTTGTACACAGAAAATAAATTTGCAAGTTAACTGTGGTTGTATGTGGTAGGTAAGATTTTAAGTGTTTGTTACATTTCATTGTTTTTGTTTTTGTTTGACAGAGAGACAGAGAGTGAGAGAGAGAGAGAGAGAGAGTACATAAGCAGGGGAGAGGGGAGAGGGAGAGAAAGAGAGAATCTTTTTTTTGGAGAATTATTTTATTTTAATTTTTTTATTTTAATAATTTATTGTCAAGTTAGCTAACATACAGTGTATTCAAGATTAGATTCCTCATCTAATGTAAGAACATACAACAGCCAGTGCTCATCCCAACAAGATCTGTCCTCAATGCCCATTTCCCATTTTCCCTGCCCTCTCAGCTTCCTACCCCCTTCAACTTTCAGTTTGTTCTCTGTATTTAAGAGTCTCTTATGGTTTGCATCCCTCTCTGTTTGTAACTTATTTTTCCTTCCCTTCCCCTATGGTCTTCTGTTAAGTTTCTCAAATTCCACATATGAGTGAAATCACATATCTGACTTTCTCTGACTGACTTATTTCACTTAGCATAATACCCTCCAGTTTCGTCCATGCTGCTGCAAATGGCAAGATTTCATTTTTTTCATCACCAAGTAGTATTCCATTACACATAATTCCATTATCCATATATCCATCCATCCACATCTTCCTTATCCATTCATCAGTTGAGGGACATTTGGGCTCTTTCCATAATTTGTTGATACTGTTGCTATAAACATTGGGGTACATATGTCCCTATGAAACAGCACTCCCGTATCCTTTGGATAAATTCCTAGTAGTACTATTGTTGGGTCGTAGGGTAATTCTATTTTTAATTTTTTGAGGAAACTCCACACTGTTTTCCAGAGTGGCTGCACCAGTTTGCATTCCCACCGACAGTACAAGAGGGCTCCCCTTTCTCCACATCCTCGCCAACATCTGTTGATACTAATTTTAGCCACTCTGACCTGTGTGAGATGGTATCTCAATGTGGTTTTGATTTGTATTTCCCTGATGATGAGTGATTTTGAGCATCTCTTCATGTATCTGTTAGACATCTGGATGTCTTCTTTGGAAAAATATCTATTCATGTCTTCTGCCCATTTCTTCACTGGAATATTTGTTTTTTGGGTGCTGAGTTTGTTAAGTTCTTTTTATATTTTGGATACTAGCCCTTTCTCTGATATGTCATTTGCAAATATCTTCTCCCATTCCATTGGCTGCCTTTTAGTTTTGTTGTTTCCTTTGCTGTGTAGAAGCTTTTTATCATGATGAGGTCCCAGTTGTTCATTTTTGCCTTTATTTCCCTTGCCTTCAGAGACGTGTTGTGTAAGAAGTTGCTGCAGCCGAGGTCGTAGAGGTTGTTGGCTGTTTTCTCCTGTAGAATTTTGATGGTTTCCTGCGTCACATTTAGGTCTTTCATCCATTTTGAATTTATTTTTGTGTATGGTGTAAGAAAGTGGTCCATATTCATTCTTCTGCATATTGCTGTCCAGTTCTCCCAGCACCATTTGCTAAAGACACTGTCTTTTCCATTGGATACTCAGAAAGAGAGAATCTTTTTTTTTTTTTTTAACATTTATTCATTTTTGAGAGACAGAGCATGAATGTGGGAAGGGCAGAGAAAGACGGAGACACAGAATCTGAAGGAGGCTCCAGGCTCTGAACTGTTAGCACAGAGCCTGACACAGGGCTCAAACCCATGAACAGTGAGACCATGACCTGAGCCGAGGTCGGACACTTAACCGACTGAGCCAACAAGGCGCCTGTCAGAAAGAGAGAATCTTAAGAAGGCTCCACGCTGAGCGTGTGTTGCAGGGCTTGATCCCACAACCCTGGATAATGACCTGGGCCAAAATCAAGAGTGGGATTCTCAACCAATTGAGCCATCCAGGTGTCCCTCATTGTTTTGGTTTTTTGTTTTACTTTTCTTCTTGGAGCATGGATACACACAGGCTAATTAACTGTGTTACTGCAACCTTATCTCCATGGCTCCGGTTTACTTGATTGCACGAGGGAAGGCAACACAATCATAAGTCAACCAATTCAACCAGTACTTGCTTTTTAAAGTTTCAAAGCCAGGGTGCCTGGGTGGCTCAGTTGGTTAACCATTCAACTTCAGCTCAGGTCATGATCTCTCTCACAGCGTGTGAGTTCGAGCACTGCATTGGGCTCTGTAGTGACAGCTCAGAGCCTAGAGCCTGCTTCAGATTCTGTCTCTGTTTCTCTGTACCCCTCCCCCATTCACACACTGTCTCTCTCTCTCTCAAATATAAATAAACATTAAAAAAATAATAATAAAGTTTCAAAGCTATTTCCTTTCTAACACTGTTTTGACAAGCTTTCAGCAACAGAGGCCAAAGCCTTCAACCCAGAAGCTTTAGCTGAAACACCCGTTCCTGATAACATTCCTCACAGAGGGTCATTTCAGCCCATAACAGGACCCCATCTTACCCACGTGACACATACATTTGCTTGAAAACTACTTGGGGCTAGTGATGGAGACTGCAGAGCTAAGAAAGTCTTTTGGCTTTTCATTTGCAAGAGAGGATGAGCTTCTTTCTCAGAGTGTGTTGCAGCCAGACGTAGTACCTCTCCTTAGCAGACACTTTGCTGTTCCAATCATACACACTGCTGTTGAGTTCAATGTGGAGTTCCAAGAGTGGGCGTCTTCTGGAGGGAATGAGAAAGGCAAAAATTAATGCCATGCAAATATCAAAGAGGAGACAGATTGTCATTTGGGTGAAATGAGGCAACAGATGTGAAAGTGCTTGAAATTGTTCCTTTCTAAATGCTCTATAAGCTGCTTAGTGAGTGATCCACACCAGCCTGCAACACTCTGGCCCCATGACCCTCACCCAAGAGGCAACTGAGTCATATTCTGGGGACACTCCAGTCAGATGATAACCTAGCTGGACCATCTATGCAAATGGAGGACAGATGTAAAAGACCATGGATACTGCTGGTCCACGAAGTGTCTACCTTGGAAGGCTGAGTCATCCCTACTACCGCCTACTCCTTGCTGCTGAGCCACTACAGAGGGGGCTGGGGAGTCACAGGCGATGAGATGTATTCCTGAGGTCCCCAGAGATACAACAGAATGCATTTCACACATGGCTCAGGAACATGATTCTAAACTGTAAGGAGGGAACAGCTGAAAAAGGACTGTTAATCTTACATGGAAGTATAGTGGGTCTTCATTCAGCTTAAATGAAAACCAGATCACCAAGGTTTCCCTTAGAAAAGTATTCTTGCCAATAAACATCAGAAATGTCTGTGTAACAAAGACTTGCAAACCTGAAGAGTCAGGTACCATTTTTCACCTATCAAACTGTCAAAATGGGGAAATAAAAAAAAAATGCAGTGTCGGGCAGAGCTCGGGGACATGGGTGCTCTCATGCAAAGCAGGTTTAACTGTCCGAGACAACAATCTGATAAAATGCATCCAGACCTTTCAAAATGCATGTTGTTGGACATAGTAATTCTTCTGGGTATTTTCCTCAAGAAAACAGTAAATGTAAGCACAAACACTGAACTACAAAGATATCGAAAACTTTTTTTTATGAAAGCGAAACACCTTCCAACGCCTGAAAATTGGTCAAGTAACTTATGCCATAATCATATTGTGGATGGTTCCACAGACATTAAAATGATGCTTACAGGGGCACCTGGGTGACTCAGTTAAGTGTCTGACTTCGGCTCAGGTCATGATCTCATGGTTTGTGACTTCAAGCCCTGTGTTGGGCTCTGTTCTGACAGCTCAGAGCCTGGAACCTGCTTCAGATTCTGCGTCTCCCTCTCTCTCTGTCCCTCCCCTGCTCATGCGCTCTCTCTCTCTCTCTCTCTCTCTCTCTCTCTCTCTCTCTCTGTCTCTCTCTCAAAAATAAACATTTTTTAAAAGTTTAAAATGATGCTTAGAAATGTAACTAGTGACATGTAAAACTGTATGTGATATAGTGTTACACCAAGTAGAAGCAGGCTACAAAGTAATAGCAGCGATTTCATTTTGGTTTAAAAAACATATTTATATACGATTGTGTGGGTATCGAAAAAGATCTGGAAGGCAATACACCAAGACTTGGCTAACAGAGATTGGTTCTAATAAGCAGGATTATAACTATTGGTTATGTTCTGCTTTAAGCATTTATATTTCATTGTTTTTTTTCAAATAATGAGTATGTACTGCTTTTGTAATTAAAAAAAAATTAAAAATTTCTTTATTTTGAAGAACAATATCCAAACTACAAGCTGACTAACAAGTGACCTCCTGAAGCACAAAGACAGGACATAAAATGTGCATCCTTCCCAAGGCAACCCCAACAAGGAATGAAAAATCCTTTTCTCCCTGAAGAGAAGGGCATCAAATATGGCACAGTGGTAATCTCCATCTCTCCATCTTGGCAGCAAGAAAACAAACAAGTGGTCTGGGCATGGGCCACGGCCTGAGTGGCTCACCTTTCTTGCCACAGTTTCTGGGAAAGGTACTTCAGGTACAATGACGGTGAGCTGGAGGACCGTTCCAACAGGGACACGTCTGCTGTGCACAGGCTCCAGAGGAAGTCAGCTTCTCGGTGGATGGTACAGGGCGCAGGCTGCCTGGACTTGGACTCCACATTGTTCACTGCTGGCCCATCCACCTCCAGGAAGCTGCTGCTGTCCAGTTGGCCCTCTGACACCACATAGTTCTGAATAAAAAAGAGCTTTGGCTTCCCTAAGAGAGAAGGGCATGCATCTCCCATGAACATCCTCCTGATCTGATCCAAAGGGAACCCTGGCTGTGTCTGATCCACGCCAAACACGCTGTGGGAGCCACCTCGGCTCACCAGGACACACACAAAGCTGTCGTAGTCTTGGTGTTGGGGCATGCAGGCAACTTGGCGAAGAATCTGGATTATACTCTCCACATGCAGGTACAAAAAATACTGGACTTCATAGCCCAAGGAAGTAAAAGTGTCCCGAAGAAACTCTGGATAAAATAAACACACATGGAAAACAACACTAAGGTTAGAAAAGTTTAAGAGGTACTGGGTAGCAGTCCTAAGCACAGTCTGATCTCCGCTACTTCTCCATTTCTGCTCTTATGCCATATTTTGAGGTTGTGAAGGACCTGAGCATGGGTCAGGAGAGAATCAACCTGAAACACACGACATTCATGTCCCCGATTCTCACTTACAATCTGTCCCCTATTATGATCTGTCCCCTGCCTGAAGCTACTATCACATCTGGTCACGGGCACAGACTGGGCCCACTTCTAGTCTGATGCAACCAAGGTGGGGTACAAAACTTTTTCTCTTCAAAACAAAGTTGGGGATTTTTCAAAAGGCTCTTTCTTAAAATAACACCCAAGTATGTAGGAATGGATGCATTTGCAGAGCACAGATCCAAATCTAGATCAAAAATGATGGCACGGGTCACGAGTTCCCACCTTCCCATGGGCTGTGGGCTGATACAGAGGCCCACAGCTACATCTAAGTTGTGACCATTTCCAGACTCCCCAGTTCCTCTTAGACCTGCCTCCCAGTGTAACCTCTAACTGAGCAGTGGGAGTCCTTAGCCAAGATTCCCTTCATTGCCCTCAAAGATTCTTCTCCCAATCTCAAGAAACAAGAAAAATCCCAAATACAAAATCTAACAGCACACCTAAAGGAAACAGAAGCAGAACAGCAAAGACACCCCAAACCCAGCAGAAGAAGAGAAATAATAAAGATCAGAGCAGAAATAAACAATATAGATTCTAAAAAAACTGTAGAGCAGATCAATGAAACGAAGAGCTGGTTTTTTGAAAATATAAACAAAATTGATAAACCTCTAGCCAGGCTTCTCAAAAAGAAAAGGGAGATGACCCAAATAGACAAAATCATGAATGAAAATGGAATTATTACAACCAATCCTTCAGAAATACAAGCAATTATCAGGGAATATTATAAAAAAATTAAACGCCAACAAACTGGACAAGCTGGAAGAAATGGACAAATTCCTAAGCAACCACACACTTCCAAAACTCAATCAGGAGGAAATAGAAAGCTTGAACAGACCCATAACCAGCGAGGAAATTGAATCAGTTATCAAAAATCTCCCAACAAATAAGAGTCCAGGACCAGATGGCTTCCCTGGGGAATTCTACCAGACATTTAAAACAGAGATAATACCTATCCTTCTCAAGCTGTTCCAAAAAATAGAAAGGGAAGGAAAACTTCCAGACTCATTCTATGAAGCCAGCATTACTTTGATTCCTAAACCAGACAGAGACCCAGTAAAAAAAGAGAACTACAGGCCAATATACCTGATGACTATGGATGCAAAAATTCTCAACAAGATACTAGCAAATCAAATTCAACAGCATATAGAAAGAATTATTCACCATGATCAAGTGGGATTCATTCCCCTGGGCTGCAGGGCTGTTTCAACATTTGCAAATCAATCAATGTGATACATCACATTAATAAGAAAAAGATAAGAACCATATGATCCTGTCAATCGACGCAGAAAAAGCATTTGACAAAATTCAACATCCTTTCTAAATAAAAACCCTGAAGAAAGTCGGGATAGAAGGAACATACTTAAACATCATAAAAGCCATTTATGAAAAGCCCACAGCTAACATCATCCTCAATGGGGAAAAACTGAGAGCTTTCCCCCTGAGATCAGGAACACGACAGGGATGTCCCCTCTCACCGCTGTTGTTTAAAAGTGTGTTGAAAGTTCTAGCATCAGCAATCAGACAACAAAAGGAAATCAAAGGCATCAAAATTGGCAAAGATGAAGTTAAGCTTTCACTTTTTGCAGATGACATGATACTATACATGGAAAACCCGACAGACTCCACAAAAAGTCTGCTAGAACTGATACATGAATTCAGCCAAGTCGCAGGATACAAAATCAATGTACTGAAATCAGTTGCATTCTTATACACTAATAATGAAGCAACAGAAAGACAAATAAAGAAACTTATCCCATTCACAATTGCACCAAGAATCATAAAATACCTGGGAATAAACCTAACCAAAGATGTAAAAGACCTGTATGCTGAAAACTATAGAAAGCTTATGAAGGAAATTGAAGAAGATACAAAGAAATGGAAAAACATTCCGTGCTCATGGATTAGAAGAATAAATATTGTTAAAATGTCAATTCTACCCAAAGCAATCTACACATTCAATGCCATCTCAATCAAAATTGCACCAACATTCTTCTTAAAGCTAGAGAAGCAATCCTAAAATTCATATGGAACCTCAAAAGGCCCCGAATAGCCAAAGTAATTTTGAAGAAGAAGACCAAAGCGGGAGGCATCACAATCCCAGACTTTTGCCTCTACTACAAAGCTGTAATCATTAAGACAGCATGGTATTGGCACAAAAACAGACACAAAGACCAATGGAATAGAATAGAGACTCCAGAATTGACCCACAAAAGTATGTCCAACTAATCTTTGACAAAGCAGGAAAGAATACCCAATGGAAAAAAGACAGTCTCTTTAACAAATGGTGCTGGGAGAACTGGACAGCAACATGCAGAAGGATGAAACTAGACCACTTTCTCACACCATTCACAAAAATAAACTCAAAATGGATAAAGGACCTGAATGTGAGACAGGAAACCATCTAAACCCTAGAGGAGAAAGCAGGAAAAGACCTCTCTGACCTCAGCCGCAGCAATTTCTTACTTGACACATCTCCAAAGGCAAGGGAATTAAAAGCAAAAATGAACTATTGGGACCTCACCAAGATAAAAAGTTTCTTCACTGCAAAGGAAACAATCAACAAAACTAAAAGGCAACCAACAGAATGGGAAAAGATATTTGCAAATGACATATCGGACAAAGGGCTAGTATCCAAAATCTATAAAGAGCTCACCAAACTCCACACCCAAAAAACAAATGATCCAGTGAAGAAATGGGCAGAAAACATGAATACACACTTCTCTAAAGAAGACATCCAGATGGCCAACAGGCACATGAAAAGATGCTCAACGAGCTCCTCATCAGGGAAATACAAATCAAAACCATACTCAGATACCACCTCATGTCAGTCAGAGTGGCTAAAATGAACAAATCAGGAGACTATAGATGCTGGAGAGGATGTGGAGAAACGGGAACCCTCTTGCACTGTTGGTGGGAATGCAAATTGGTGCAGCCGCTCTGGAAAGCAGTGTGGAGGTCCCTCAAGAAATTAAAAATAGACCTACCCTATGACCCACCAATAACACTGCTAGGAATTTACCCAAGGGATACAGGAGTCCTGATGCATAGGGGCACTTGTACCCCAATGTTTATAGCAGCACTTTCAGCAATAGCCAAATGATGGAAAGAGCCTAAATGTTCATCAACTGATGAATGGATAAAGAAATTGTGGTTTATATACACAATGGAATACTATGTGGCAATGAGAAAGAATGAAATATGGCCTTTTGTAGTGACATGGATGGAACTGGAGAGTGTGATGCTAAGTGAAATAAGCCATACAGAGAAAGACAGATACCATATGTTTTCACTCTTATGTAGATGGATCCTGAGAGACTTAACAGAAGACCATGGGGGAGGGGAAGGAAAAAAAAAAGTTAGAGAGCAAGGGAGCCAAACCATAAGAGACTCTTAAAAACTGAGAACAATCTGAGGGTTGATGGGGGGTGTTAGGGAGTGGAAAGTGGGGATGGGTATTGAGGAGGGCACCTGTTGGGATGAGCACTGGGTATTGTATGGAAACCAATTTGACAATAAATTTCATATTAAAAAAGAAAAGATTCTTCTCCCAGTTTCCGGGAATCCTGGATTGACTTTGCCTGAAGAAGCAGTGTAAGGCAGTGGAAAAGTCAGACTTTATGTCAGACAAGGCTGCCTTCTTCCACTGACCTTACCACATGATGGTGGCATGACCTTAAAGAAGTGGGTCTCCTTAGCTTTAAATGGAAGTGATGATACCTATCCTGTGAGCATGCTATGAGGATTAAATGAGGTAATACATATAAAGCTCCTGGTGCTCAAGAGAAATGAGTTCCTATTACCTCTAAAATATATATATATATATATATTTTATCCGTCTTTTTGAAGTTTCTATAGCCTTGGAACCGTAGAAATCTTGCCCAGTCCATTTCTTTCCCATCTGCTCAGTTTGCCCTCATCAGAAAAATAAATACAGTCTCTTTATTTTTTATATCTTTCTAACAGCGAAGAGAGACATCTTTCTCTTCCTCATTAAGAAATGCCACATCCTTTTGAGCCACCCATTAAGTTTCTGTTCCTTGTCTGAAGGATGCCTCCACTTCTTAGTTCATCTGCAGAGCAGAAAAACTATTCTGCCCTAAGCTAAACAGATGTCTCCCCATTCACATAGTTACCTTTACTCTTAGCCAACTTTTTGGGATTTCTTTCCATGTCTCATGACTGTGTTCCCACCTCTCTTCGTCCCCTGGGGTGTGGTCTTCCAGAAGTCTACCACTGCATTCACCCCAAACCAAACAACATAACAGTAATTAGAACAGATAAAACTTCTACCAAGGAAAAAAGCCCCCATCTCATACCAGTGTAGGCATCACAGAAAGGGGATGTAAGTCATTCCCCTGAAATCACCATATAACAGTTTTCCACAAATTCTCAACTCTCTATATTAAATGGGAACAATATGAAGTCTGAATAGTCACAAATAATTCAGAGACTCACGGCTTCAACCAATAGTTTCAACCTTCTTGCCCTGAAAATTTTACCAACACTAATAAACTACAAAAGTGAAAGTTAGCTATCACATTTTGTCTTCTGGCTTCTCAGCAGGAAATAGGGAGAGAAAGGTAAGAAAAGAAACGTAGCCTTGAGTAAACAAAAAACTGGAATAACTAGCCACCAGGCAAATAAAAGCTGGCTTGGGTGCTCGGAGTTTAATTCACCCAGCCTGTGGTACCTGGATATGTTCACATTGGGTCTAGTGGGACTTTCCACTCAGGAGAGCTGGGTTTAATTGTGGCCCCACATCTACC